ATTGGCAGAGGCCCTGGAGGTTTTTCGCCTTCCTCCGCAGCATGGGGCAGGGGTCGCTTGCTGGAGGATTCTGAGCGACTAGAAGTCTTTAAATAATGATTTGGGAGTTCTACAGCTAAGTCAAGGGAGAGAATTCTTCCAGGAGTGGGTGGGTCAGGTTTGGTGGCCCGCATCATGCGGGAGGTCAGACTAGATGATCATAATGGTCCCTTCTGACCTTAGAGTCTATGAGTCTATTTGTATGCTTTCCCCCCAATTCTGCTGATCCTGAAAGTCAACCTCAACTTTAAATACTAACTTTTCTAACAGTTTGAGGGTTTTAGGTTACAGTCCATGTCAAAAATACTTTTGGATCTTGCCAGAGACAGCCTATGCACTTTTATAAAGTTTTATTTCCCCCCAGTGAAATACTGTGCTTTCCTGCTAATGAAATTTGTCTTTACAACATTTCCTAATCACACAGGGGTAGATTGACTTGATTAATGATATTTGCAGGTGTAATTGGCAAGTGTATCTTTTAAAGCAACAGAAAGTTTGTCACATTGCCTTTAAGGTGACATTCAGCATAAAAAAGTTTATTCTAGGATTTGGCCAAGATTCATACAGTGCAGACAACTAAAAATGACTTATATTTTGAATATTTTTGCAAGCTGGCATTTCATAGTGTGTCAATGTGCATGAAGAGTGGCAATATTTAATTCCATTATAAAAACTGCATGTGAAAAGAATTTCTCCTTGTGTAATAAGCTTTCTGAAAGTAGCAAACGTGTTGAAGCTGAGGTGTATGGGGTCTCTTCCAACCCTAATCTTCTGTTATTCTATGAAATTCTCATCATGGAGAGTGTCTTTTATTCTGAGATCTGACAAACTTCCATTTCAGCCTTTAAAGAGTACATCCAATTTTTGTCACTAAGAATGTTACTTTTCTGTTGTTCATAGTGTCTGAGGAAAAATTGATTAAGGGGGAATTCACATAGTGGACAGAACTATTTTGTACTACTCTGTTTACACAGATAAAGTGCTAAGAAACCTTCCTCAGAGTTCTTAGCAAAAATCAGTTCTGCCTACCATAGGTATTGGGAGATAATTCTTCCATGTTTTAGTCCTAATCCTCCTCATGGAAAAGAGAAGATGTATAAAAAAAAATTGGATATTACAAGAACCATTAACATTTTATATTTAAAATTGCAAAAAATCAGGAAAATACCACTCTCTTTACTGGTGGTATTTCATCATGTTTTAAAAGAGGGAAATCTTCCAAATAGATAGCATGAGTGGAAGAACAGGATGGTATAAAAGAGCTCTGGATTCAGCCCTACCCCCAATCCATCAGGAATGTGAGGAACTATTAAGAGTTGTTTGTTTGAAGTTTGTACAGTTGAATTTTGTGTGTTTTTGAGAATGTGGTTGGACTGGATTATGTGCAGGGAGGTGAGTTGGAGAGGGGATGGATTGGTAAAAGAAGGAGGATGAAAATCTAAGATTTAGTGCTGAGAGGACAGGGAGGGCAATTTGGGGATCTGGTGGGGAATTGGGAGAAGATTATTTTGTAGATGGGTTTGAGGGATTTGTGATTTGGAGTGATGGTGGTTGGTCTGCCCTGAGGTTGTGGAACTGTTAGGTTTTGTAACCAGGGTAGTTCCTATCAATCCTTGGGGTCTGACCCAGGGTTCAGGAAGAGTATCACCCTTGGGATATCTCCCTCTACCATATTTAAGATTAGTGATCTGTGGGGGGCAAGAGTCCCATGAGAGAATGGGTTGTATGGCAGAGGACAATTGGATATGAATTATATAGGTGAGTGGTAATGAAGAACTTTGTTGCCTGTCTAGGGAAGTTTTTGAGCTATTAGGTTGCCAAGAAAGATGGACAGTGCTACTATATGGTGGCAATATAGATGACCTGTCAGGGTAGTGACTGTGAAGGCTTGGGCGCCTCAAGTCGTGTGATGGTAGACAGGGAGAGGTCATTCAATAAGATAACATAGTGCCTTAACAAAGAAACAAACAAACAAAAAAAAGGCAAGAAATAGCCATGTGTAAAATCCGTCTAACTTTAAATTTTTTCCCTTTCTACCCACTTGTGTGGAAATATTAATTGTATATAATCTATTTTCTAAATTGTTGCTGTGGTACCATTGAAAGCACATTGCAATATAATATGCAGGCCTCTGTTTAGGAGCAGGACATCTGCTCCTTAGATCAATAGAGCCTTTAATGAATCATTGAGGCCCAAGGTATTCTTAAAACATCCAATCTGCCTGGTAGGAATAGCTTTGACACAGACTCCAAAGGCTGCTGTTTCCCACCTTTGCTGTGGGATTAAAGAAGCAGGTAAAAAGAGGAAAGTGATTGGAGAATCATAAAATTGCTATCATAATTAAAACATAAAAGGTGAAAATTCAGTGAAATCACTCTTCTTGGTGAAGCAAATTCCTTGGAGAAATTTGTCTTATTTATAACCTTTATCCCTTTCCCCCAGGGATGAAGCAAGGGAAAGAATCTGGATAACTCTGTCTTCTGAAAGCGAAGTGTGATTAAAAAGCATAATCCACTGTGTATATTTGCTGCTTTGTGATGAAAATTGTTAGATCTTAGGAAATGATTATATTAAAACCTGCTTTTCTTTTCTCAAGTGTTATGAAGCTTTGGTTTTAATACAGACTGAGCAGATACATTTTTCCAAAGGATATTTTCATGTGTTTGGGGACCTCTAAAATGTTGGTTTAATTTTTTGATCATCAGTATATTGTGTCGTGAAAGTATTTGTAAATTTTCCAAGTAATGAATGGCCCAATATTTTTAAGCTCTGTATAAAGAAGTTAGAATTCAGAAATAAATTCAGTTACTGTATCAAAAATACCTCAACACACTCACATTTGTAATTTCTTCCTTTGTTGAAATGTAAGAGCTCTTTGGCCTCCTTTCCCCCTGCACCAACTTTATTTAATCAACATAATTTACACATAGATTGGAAGCAATTGCGGTAAATTGAGTTCCCATACTATTGGCTAGTCCAGTTGGCCTCCCATATAATTCGTGTTGTTTTGTAAATTATATTTTTTAAAGTATTGATAGCTTTGCCAGCAAGATACCATAATTACAGCAAAAAAATAAAGCTGTCACTCAAAAATTAAACAAAATTAAAATCCGTGTGTATTTTTACCATCGCTTTTAAACAGGGTGGCTACCACCAACCATATGTTCAGAAATTTCAAGTTTTTAATAAAAGCTTTATCAAGTAACCACACATTATAGCCAGATGAATGTTTAGCAAGATGTAGTGAATTACATGTTGCAGTATCAAATGCTGGTGTAAGAATTGTTAATCTTCCTTTATTTAAAATAGGTTTGTCATATTTATGGTTTTTAATGGATATGTCCTTTTTTCCCTTTGCTAATAAGGATTTGTGTGGTGGTCTGAAATTTTTGGTTTAGCATGTAAATGGCATCTTGTAAAGGAATTGTAAAGTGAAACACTATAGACTGTTAACAGAGATAGTAATTTAATGAGTATTGGTAGTTTTTGGACTATGAGTTAGACTCTAATAGTTCAGAATAATTATGATTTGTCCATGTGCTTCAGTGACTTCTTAGACTAAGTACTTGTACTAGTTCAATCCTAACAGTTTATCTTGTAGATTGGAATGACGCTGGTCAAATGTATTGCAGTCAGGTAAGTCAGCCTCTTTGTTGGCATGAGTGAAAGGAATAGGAGAATAGAAGAGTTCTCCATATAAGAAAGCTGTGTATAAATGGCTATCATGAAACCAATATTTCTGCCTATACTCGGGGTATTAGAAGTAATTAAAGTGAACTGTTTTAAAATGGTTACTTCATCCTTAAAGTGACACAGTCAACTTGAAACCTAGTCAGTTGAAAAAAATGTTAAAATAGTTTTAGGTGCTGCACCTCTCTCTCAATCTTGCTGCCAAATGTGGTTTTACAGTTTAAAATATTTTTCTCTCTGCTGCTGCTATTTGAAAACCTCTTTTAGCTGACTGCTAAAACAATATAGGTAACAGACTACACAGGGGAAATAATGGAGTTAATTACAAAATGCTAGTCAGAGATAAAGTAAGCAAACTGGAAGAATTGAGAGATTTTTCTTTGAGCTTTAACTTATCGCAATCTTGAATGCCATAATAATGGTATGCAGTGTAGTTGTAGCCGTGTAATCCTATCTCCTGTGGAGGAAACACTTTTCACAAAATGATACCTCATATATCAGTCCTCATCCTTAAAGTAAACCTGTACAATACTTTGGCCTTGTCTACACTACCAACTTTTGTTGCCAAACTTGCCATTTGTCGACCCAAATGGTGAGTGCGAACACGCTACGAGGCGACTTTTGTCGGGGAAAATGCCTGGTTTTGGCGACAAAATACATCCACCCTCACGAGAGATTTATGTCTTTTTTCCTCTACATTTTGGTCAACAAAGTGCAAGTGTGGACACCACTCTTCATTTCATCACTTTAATTGGCCTGCAGGAGGTGTCCCACAATGCCCAATGTCCTGACCGCTCTGATCAGCACTTTGAACTCCACTGCCCTGCAGCCAGGTAAGCAACCATCCGCCTCTCCCCCTTAGAAGCCCTGTGAATTTTTGAAATTCTATTTCCTGTTTGCTCAGCGTGGAGAGCTTTCATTGCATCTTCCCAGGTGACCATGGCAGGTTATCGCAGCAAACGCTTTCCTGCTTGGACCACTGCAGAGTTGTTGGATCTGCTCAGTATATGGGGAGAGGAGGCTGTGCAGTCCTAGCTGCCCTTGAGCCGTAGGAATTGGGATACCTACGGGCAGATTTCTTGAGGCTTGTGCGAAAAGGGCTATGATTGGGACACGCTGCAGTGCAGAGCAAAGATAAAGGAGCTAAGGCAGACATACCATAAGGTGAGGGAGGCAAACCGTCTCTCAGGTGCTTCACCTAAGACCTGCCGGTTCTATAAAGAGCTGGATGCTATCCTCAGTGGTGACCCCACCTCCATCGCCAAGAGCCCTGTGGATACTTTGGAGGGCACAGAGGTGGAGGAAAGAGGACCTAACCCAGAGGACAAAGTTATTGATGAAGAGGTGGAGTTAGATGAGGATGTGCAGCTCCCAGTGGGGTTGCTCAGTGGGGCAGGCAGCCAGGAACTGTTCTCCACTCCAGAGGTGTCTAGCCAGTCTCAGCAGCTGCTCTCTGGCGAGCAAGCAGCAGGAGATGAGACTCCTGATAAGTGGCTGTGGTTTGTGTAGTGTGGAGATGGGTTCAGGGCATAGAAATATGGGAGGCTGGCTGTGTTTCTGTGAGCTGCACATTTCCCTGCATAGCTAATCAGTACGGCGGAACAGGATGTTGATGCACGCCGAGGTCTCACGGGAATCCTCCAGAGAGGTCTCCAGGAAAGTACCTCCAGTTTCCTGGAATTACTCGGTAATCCTCTGCTGAAGGGTCTGGGGCAGAGCAGCTGTGTTCCTTCCCCCATTGTAGGAAACTTTCCCGTGCCATTGGCAATTACTTGTGCAGAGACCAAAGCAGCACATAGGCGAGCTGCATAGGACCAGGGAGGAAGCCACAAGTATGGAGTAGATGTACCCTCGTTTCTCTGTTTACTCTTAGCAGTGAGATGTCTGCTAGAATTACCCCAGTCTGTGGAAAAGTGTGGGAGAATTTTAGAATTTGTTCCCTAGAGTGCTGCACCATGACCCTTGCAAAGAGTGTGCTCTTTTCCCCATGTAGAGCTCCTCCCTCTCCCCCGCGCCAACACTCACTATACTTTGGGTGTTCGCAGAGATGTGTGCCTCACTAGGGTCAGTGAGAAAGTGATGGCAATGTTGCAAAAGGAGTATTTAACAGAAATGTTTCAGTGCTGTGCGTGAATTTAACAATCCTGCTTCTGTGCATTGTCCCCTGTGCTTCACCAGATGTGGCCTTCAGGAACACCCCATGCACCCCGACCGAGCGTCTCTGCCAGATAAGAAAGTGCCCAAGACACAGCAAAGAAGACATGTTCCGGGAAGTCCTGCAGTGCTCCAATGCAGAAAAAAGGGAGTGAAAGGCATGCTGGGAAGCCAAACGGCGGGACAGAAAGGAGAATCACGTGTTTGTTAAGGATGCTTCTGAGCAGATGCTTAAAGTAATGGAGGAGCAAACACAGATGCTGAAGTCCGTAATAATGCTGCAGACCGAGCAGATTAGTGCTCGACCTCCACTGCAGCACATTCAGAACTCTTTTCCATGCCCCCCACAAACTCTGCCTTCACATTCCTTTCCACCTTCCGGGACTTTTCGGTTTCCCCTTCACTCATCCCACTCAGACAACTTTCACAATGGTAGCTGGAACCTACACACAGCTGTGATAGTCTGCCCTCTCCTGGTTCCTCCTTTCCCGTCAAGCATCTGTGTGTTTGTGTGTGCTGTTTCTTGTGCAATAAAAGCAAACTTTTATAATGGTAAATCATCTTTAATTTTCTTCTACAAGGTGAGATTGCAGGCATCACCAATATATGCACATGCATTTTAATCACTTTATTGCAGGAATATAAGGCCACAAATGTCATCATTGCCCCATAGGAAAACTACGTGTAATATTACATTGAAACAACTCAGACAGAGATATGTTACTGGTGGTCATTATCAAAGTGCTGCCTCAAACCCTCCCTGATGTGAATAGCTCCCCTCTGGGCTCCTCTGACAGCCCTGGTATCTGACCACTCAAAATCAGTGGCCAAGCAGTCTGCCTCGGCACTCCACCCCTGAGCAAACCTTTCACCCTTAGCTTCACAGAGATTATGCAACGTACAGCACGCGGCTATGACCATAGGAATATTATCCTCAGTGAGGTCCAACCTGCCATAAAAGTATCGCCAGCGAGCCTTTAATCTGCCAAAGGCATATTCAACTGTCATTCGGCACCTACTGAGCCCGTTGTTGAACTGCTCCTTACTGCTGTCCAGGTGTCCTGTGTAAGGTTTCATGAGCCGTGGCTGTAAGAGGTATCGCAGGGTCCCTCAGGTTCACTATTGGCATTTCAACACCTCCCACTGTAATCTTCTGATTAGGAAAGAAAGTCTCTGCTGGTGTTCCTGAAGATGCATGTGTCATGGACCTTCCCAGATCACCCTGCGTTGATGTCAGTGAAACACCCACGGTGATCCACAAGTGCCTGTAACTCCATGGAGAAGTACTCCTTCCTATTGATTTACTCCATTGCAAGGTGGTCTGGTGCCAAAATTGGAATATGTGTGCCATCTATCACCCCTCCACAATTAGGGAAACGCATTTCTGCAAAGTCATCCACTATTTCACACACGTTTCCCAAAGTCATAGTCCTTCATAGCAGGATGCGATTTATTGTCCTGAACACTTGCATTAACGTGGTTGGGTCATTACAAAACCTAAACCTAATTTCCCCAATACTAAGTTCCCCCTACTGTTACTTACACCTTCTTGTCAACTGTCTGAAATAGGCCACTCTCATTACCACTTCAAAAGTATTTTTCCTTCCTTGGTATCCTGCTGTTAATTGACTGACCTCACACTTGGTAAGGCAATTCACATCTTTTCATGTATTTATACCTGCGCCTGTATTTTCCACTTCATGCATCTGATAAAGTGGGTTCTAGTCCACGAAAGCTTATGCCCAAATAAATTTGTTAGTCTCTAAGGTGCCACAAGGACTCCTCATTGTTTTTGCAGCCCCAATGGTTGACTTTCCTACTCCAAATTGATTTGCAACCAACCGGTAGTAGTCTGGAGTTGCTAGCTTCCACACAGCAATTGCCACGTGCTTCTCTACTGAGAAGGCAGCTCTCATTCTGGTGTCCTTGCGCTGCAGGTCTGAGGCGAGCTCCGCACACAGTTCCAGGGAGGTGGCTTTCCGCATCCGAAAGTTGTGTAGCCACTGCTTGTCCTTCCACACCTGCATGACGATAAGATCCTGCTATTCAGTGCTTGTTTCACAAGCCCAAAAGTGACTGTCTACCCCAAGACCTGCTCTGTGAATGCCAAAAGCAATCTAAAGTTGCTCCTATCCATATCATGGAGAATGTCGGGCGCCTGCTTGTTTTCTACGGTTTGGAACTTCATGATTAACTGCACTGCCATCCGCGATGTCTTCATGACAGTTAACAGAGCATAGGAGAGCAGTGTAGGATCCATCCCTTCTTACAAAGATGCCGGGGTGCACAGCAAAGAAACGCTGTTGAAAAAATGCTGCGAAAAAAAGCCGGAAGCCCATGGAGTTCTGGGACAGAAAGCAGTGCATCACAGGACATTTAACACTGTCCCAAGATCCTCCGCGATCCACTCTGTCGTCCCACAACACCTAGCAACACCTAGCATTGCTCACACTGTCGATGATGGTGCCCCCACTGTGGACGTGATCTGCCGACAGAGGGAGCAAGTGTGAACACAAAATTGTGGTTTTTAACATGTCGTCTTTTGGATGTCAACATCACTTTTGTTGACACAAATTGGTAGTGTAGACATGGCCTTTAAAAGAAGCCTGGGAGCTTAAATGCATTACTCTGCTAGACACTAAAAATAATGGACTGAACAGAGACACTGGATTTATGGCTTATTTAAACAATCAGTAACCTACTAACCTGCTCTTTTTGTTCTAGGACTGCAGAGGTGTTAATGGGCATTCTACCTTGAATTGTCCCTTACCATATGTGCTAACTACTTATGTTAAACAATCAGTTCTACCTTGCATTTTGCTGTGACTCTGGAAGTTCCTTTCCCAGACCTGAAGAAGAGCTCTGCGTGGTTCATAAGCTTGTCTCTTTCACCCACAGAAGTTGGTCCAATAAAAGATATTATCTCACCCATAATAATGATAGGTAAAGACATTTTAGATATAAGTGATTTTTAAATGTCTCTGTAATCCACCCTGTTGTCCCTAAAGTTTGCCTTAAATAAATGATTGGCTAGCAGCTCCATGGTTAGTATTATGTTCTAACATACGCTTAAAATGCACATGAATTCATGATTTTTCTCTAAAAATAGGTGACCAATCAGCGTGAAATTTCAGAGTGTTATTTTTTGTGCCCTTTTAATTTTTTTCGATGTAGTTATTGTTCTTTTTGTCTTAATTTTTTTAATAGAAAGTCTTTTTGAATTTGGGTTCTAGATAAAAATTTTCCTTGGCAGTCCTCCTTTTATTGACCAATATCTTAAAAAAAAAAAAAGGTACATACAACACTGGAACTCCTGGGAGTCACAGCTGAACATAAATGTGTTGGCGCTCAGGGCAGTTTGCTGGGCCCTTGAGGCTTTCATCCTATCATTGCAACATCAAGTAGTACGAGTCCTGTCAGACAACACCACAGCCATGTACTACATAACAAGGAGTAGCACACACTCTACCCTTGGCTCAGAGACAAGAAAACTTTCATTCAGCTCAGCATCTAGGAGGAAAAAACAACGTGCAAGTGAATTCAGTCAGCAGAAAGGCTTAGAACGAGCACCGATGGTCCTTGAAAGCAACAGTCTCTGTCTTAGTCTTCAGGAAGTGAGGATGTGGACCTGTTTTCATTCAGTACATCAACAACTGCATGGACCAGATAGACACAAAAGGTATCTACTTCTCTGGTAGATTAGTCCCAGAGACCTTCTCATTCCTAGAATGCTGCAAAAGATGAAGGACAGAGCAAATGTCATTCTGGTGGCCCCATCATTGGCAAGACAACATTGGTATGAGGACGTTAGAGCTGTCCAGAGAACCACCTCTCTTTTCGGCTCAAAGTTTCTCTTGATCTTTTAGCAAGCAATTGATCCCATTGCAAACTGGAATGTCTACAATTTTAGATCGTGTTTAGAGCAGGTTTGGGCAAACTGTTTGGCCTGAGGGCCACATCTGGGTATGGAAATTGTATGGGGGGGCCATGAATGCTCACGAAACTGGGGGTTGGGGTGCAGGAGGGGGTGAGGGCTCTGGCTGGGGGTGCGGGCTCTGGGATGGGGCCAGAAATGAGGAATTCAGGGTGTCGGAAGGGGCTTCGGGCTGGGGCAGGTTGCGTGCGTGTCTGTGGGCTCCGGCTGGGGGTGTGGGCTCTGGGTGGGGATGCAGGAGGGTGCTCCGGGCTGGGACCAAGGGGTTCAGAGGGCAGGAGGGGGATCAAGGCAGAGCATTGGGGCGTGGGAGGGGGTCAGGGGTGCAGGGTCTGAGCGGCGCTTACCTCAAGCAGCTCCCAGAAGCAGCAGCATGTCCCCCCTCCATCTCCTGAATGGCGGCATGGCCAAGCAACTGTGCGTGCTGCCCCATCTGCTGGCACCATCCCTGCAGCTCCCATTGGCTGTGGTTCCCAGCCAATGAGAACTGTGGGGGCAGCGCTTGGGGCGGGGACAGCGTGCGGAACCCCCCTGGCTGCCCCTACGTGTAGGAGCTGGAGGGGGGACATGCTGGAGCATGGAGCGGAGCAAGCCCAGGATCCCACTCCCTGGCGGGAGCTCAAGAGCCAGATTAAAGTGTCTGAAGAGCTGGATGTGGCCACTGGGCCGTAGTTTGCCCATCCCTGGTTTAGAGCCTCAAGGACTCTGTCTTTTTGTTGGAAGTCCACTTAGCATCTATATTGGCATGCCCACAAGCCTTTTAAGGAGAGTCCAATTTTCTTGCTCCCTACAGTTGCCAGACTCTTATAAAGGATTTGTCAATGCCTTCCCTTATACAAAGGGATTTCCCTCTTCCTGGAGCTTTGATCTATTTCTAACAAGACTGATAGGATTTCCCTTCAAACCCATTAGGCAAGGCTGGCTCCAGGCACCAGCTAAGGAAGCAGGTGCTTGGGGCGGCCAATACAAAGGGGCGGCACTCAGTCCGCTATTGGGGTGGCACGTCCGGGTCTTCAGCGGGAGCTGCTGCCGAAGAGGAAGAGAGGGAGTGAAGGAACTGCTGCCGAAGAATGGAGCAGCGTGATTGAGCTGCCGCCGTAGTGCCGCCTATCGGCTTTTTTTTTTCTTCTTCCCGCCGCTTGGGGCGGCAGAAAACCTGGAGCCGGCCCTGCCATTAAGGAGCAGTCTTTTCAACATCTTTCCTTAAAGACAATATTTCTTATTGCCATTACCTCAGCAAAGACGGTTAGTGAGCTGGAAGCTCTGATGGTCAGTCCACTAAAGACGGTGGGCCACGAACCTAAACTAGTGATCAGAACCCACTCTAGCTTTATTCCAAAATGTAGCATTTGACTTCCAGCTTTCAGAGAGAATTTCTTTCCTTATGCTCTTTCCTTGACCCTGTTCCCATCCTGCACTTTAAGAGAGCGCTGTGCTTTTAATCTAGAAAAGGAAATCTTTTAGAAAAATAAAACAGTCTAGTTTATGGCGAAGATGTTCTCCCTGGCATCTAAGACAGAGACTTTCTTAGTGGATTAAGAACTGCATAAAACTGTTACAAAGTAGTTAGTGGCAGTGCTTGAGGGTTAAGATCCTAATTCACAAGAGCCAGTGGTGTCTCCATGGCTTGTTTTAGGCACATCCCAATAGTGGAGATCTGTAGTGTAGCAACCTGAAGTTCGATGCATGCCTTCACCAAGTATTCTTGTTTGGATTGAGTGTCACTCTCCATTGCCTAATTTGGGGGAGCAGTTGTACAGTTCATGTTTTACTAAGACCTCTTTGTCCACTGTCCATTTGTGGGGGTGCATTTCTTACTACTGTATTTGCTAACAAGTAGGAATATATACAGGCCTTCTAAGAAGAAAGAGAGGTTCTTTGAGAGTTGCCTCCATGCACTCCTTCTTCACTCCTAGCTTCCTGTCCACTTTGAAGTCCTATGTGTCCTCAACAGGTTCAGAAAAATAAGCTGAGGCAATTGGTTAAATGCACACCCTTTATATAGACTAGGCCAGGGGTTCTAGGGACAAATTTTTTGGGCTCAGAATGCGGCCACCAGCAAGAGTTTGTGGCCGGTGTCACACTTTTTCCTAAAATACTTAATTAGCTATAGGAAACCCAAATAAATATGCATATATACATGTCCAAATCATTGTAATTTATTTATTGATAGCTAGTAAATCTGTTGTGAAAAGTGATATTAACAAACATACAAGTATCACTTTTCACAGCAGACTTACTCAGTTTGACAAGCCTCGGGACAAGTTAAGTCCTGGATGGAGGGTCGGGGGAGGCAGTGGAGGCCAGGGGAGATGGGGGTTAGGGGAGGCAGCGGGGGGCTGGAGCCTGAAGTTCTGCTGCCAGAGCCTGAAGCTTCACGGCTGGAGGATGGGGTCCAGGGATGGAGCCCGAAGCCGTGTGGCCGGAGTCTAGGGCCTGCCATCGTACAGCCATAGCCTGGGCCTGGAGCCCGAAGCCCCATGTCCAGAGCCTGCCGCCCCACCACCCCAGGGCTGAAGCCCAAAGCCTGAGCCCCACTGCCCCTGGGAATACGAGGAGCTCATTGGCTGCCTGCTCTTACAGCATTGTGCCCTAGGTGACTCCAGAGGGGGGCAGGGCCCAATCCCCGCTGGTAGCCCCAACAACCAAA